GACAAACGCCCGAATGGACACTTGCCCGAATGCGACAAATGCCAAAATGGACACTTGCCCGTATGCGACAAATGCCTGAATGGACACTTGCCCGAATGCGACAAATGCCCGAATGGACACTTGCCCAAATGCGACCAATGCCTGAATGGACACTTGCCCGAATGCGACTAATGCCAGAAAGCTACTTGCCCGAAGGCCGTTTGCCCGAAAAAATGTAAATATTAAATACAAACATTATATTACCAAATAGACATTTTTAATCGATTCAAGTTTGATAATCATCACAGTTCTAACCATAAAAACTAATTTGCTTACATTTAAAAAAAATAGCTTTTATTTTTTTTTTTAATATGAAAAATTGCCATAAAAAAACGGCATTATTCTTCATTAAATGCAGTGATGTTGGCGGCGGTGTCTTAACATTCTTTTGATCTAAGTTTTCAACACTTTGTTTAACCGACGTGTTGCGGTGGTTATATAACGTTTATGACACGGTGTAGGCGGCGCGGCGTCTCGAAACATTGAACTGATGCGCGTTTGCTTATCTTTGTATGCTTAATCTTGTGTGGCGATCCTTTAACAAAATAATGAGGCAGGATCTGGGCTGCGAATTTAAAACTAAAAATAGTCTTTTATGTTTGATCGCCATTTAATGCATATTGTTTAGACAATGTGTTTAAGCCATTACTAAATAAAGAAAATGAGATTCATTTAAACATCTTAGATAAAAGAAAATGGTTTGTTAGTCTTGTTTTTTTAGATAGAAAAGAAAATATGTTTGTACACTTTTTATTTAGCAAATACAAATGAATTAATAATTTATGCGTAATAATATATAATATTAATTATTTTCCCTATATTTTTGTTTAGATATGTATTGTTTATCAAAATTTAAAATTAAAATTGATTACCAAATCTATTTGGTAATATATAATGTTACAATTTTTCAGGCAAGTGGCTTTCGGGCGTTCGTCGCATTCGGGCAAGTGTCCATTCGGGAATTTGTCGTAGACCCGTTTTATTTATATATTATACGAGTGAGTGTCGCATTATTGTAACACGGTAGTAACCAGCTTCTAAACTCTTTACTTGAGAAACTATAATATGATTCTGCCTTTTTAGCCATAAATATGCCCATTCACTTTTCAACTTAAATCATATCAACATTGGACAATTACATAAAAAAAAAACTTGACGAATGCACAACAGATCTAAATATGTAAAGTTATATCACTGTTGACAAATCCATTATGTTATAGTTTCCTTTTACGTTATCACAGAAAATCTGAAACATGGCCATTTAAAACTTGTTCATGATATTCACACACATTTTGGATATATATGCTTGATATCAAATTGTTTTTTTCTAGTTGGACTCAGTATCTTATGTATTTAAAAGTGCACCGTAAAATTTTGTCAAAAAATGTCTATATAATGTTTGTAGGGTGTGTAAATAAAACAATACACAAAAAATCAATAATAGGAACCTCAATGACAAATAATAAATGATGCGAAACTAGGTGGTGTCATGGGGGTTGTGGGAATGGAAATCAAATTTATGGTGTTAGCAGTTATTTTTACCTTTAATTAATTTAGTAATACATCATCCTCAGTATTTAACAACACAGGGGTGGGGTCATGAGGACTATTGTTTTAAAAACTATTTTTAAAAAAGTATAGAACACACAACAGGCGATTCCATTGCCCGAACATTCTAAAAGTGGAATGGTTCTTTTGTTTACAAAAACAGCTTCAAAGAAAGTTATCGTTTGACTATTTTAACTTTATTCTAGTGTCAATTTCAAAATCGATGAAGTCCTAAAGATATTTAAATTGTTAAAATACAACTCTTAGAAAAAATGGATATTCTCTAAAAAGTTTTTTATACATTAAAATAAAAACATATTTTGGTGTGAAATTTAGTATTGTTTTAGTATTTCTGAACTATTAATAGAATAACCTCCCTTTTATCAAATAATAATAATATGGGAACAAGCTTTGAGCTAACACTAATTCAACAGCTTAAATTGTGTGTTTTTTTTTCTACAGTAATACCAGTAGCACATTTACTTCCTTAATGCCTGGAAAGCAAGTTGATTAAATGGATAGAGCCTGTGTAGCAGACCTCATGGTGAAGACATGTGTTTATTTTATCACAGTCTTTGAAGCTCTGAGAAAGTAGACAATCCTAATTCAAGATAAAATACGCTTGATTAAAAGATCCAATGTCGTTTTGTTAGTGTAAGAAGCAATTGTACATGAATATTTCAATAACATGAGAGATAATGCTGATCAGAGAACGTCGAGGATGAACTGTGTCCAGTTTACGGTTGCTTGATTTTATTTATAAGTATAATGAGATGGCAACAAAAGAATAACTTTACACTCATCAATTCTAAACCAAAAGTATAGAAATTATTTACTTGTGTTGATTGATTTTAAAAACTATGTGTATTTCATAACAGTTCGTTACACTTACAACATTAAGTATAGCCGTTCACATGTAATAGTTGATTAACTTTTAATTAAAATGGTCAGTATAAAGCAGGGGTTCCCAACCTTTTTTTACTCTAGAGCACATTCTAAAATATCGACAAACTCCTTCCAGAGGCGTAACGACCCTTCCCGTCACCCGGGGACAAAACTTTCGATTTGCACCCACCCCCCCCCCCCTCCAACTTTCGATTTGCGACCCCCCCTCAAACTTCCGATTTGCACCCCCCCCCCCCCTCAAACTTTCGATTTGCATCCCCCCCCCCCCCTCAAACTTTCGATTTCCATCCCCTTTAACCTTTCAATAATGTTTATGAAAAAAATTCTGTCTCTGCTGAATAGTTAGAGACGGGCACATATGAATCGTTCGGCGGGCGCCATGGCGCCCGCGGGCACGGGGTTGGGAACCCCTGGTATAAAGAAAAGTATTGCTATCATTGTAAATGATAATTTCTTTAAAAAAGAATTAAAACAAACACTTTATTTCTTGCTATTTGATGTGTAAGGAAATGTGACTGAGTTGTCCATTGGTTGTTTCATGGGTTCTAACACGTCAAGTGTGAATATTGCGTCCAGCCAGTACCTGACTCAATAAGAAATAAAACAGTGTGGATACTGTGTAGTGCTGACCATATAGTGCATGTACATATTAATTTTATGTAGTGCTGAACACATACCACACAATCAGGTAACATACATGTGTTCTGGTGCTTATATGCACCAACTACATCACACAGATGATGCCAGGTGATCAAATATATCTACAATGACAAACGTGACTGTCATGTCCAACAATTATTAACATAGGGAAATCCTTACTTAATTTATATTAAAATACATATATGCAATCACATATTTTTTAATATAGCGAACCATTACAAGCGTTTAATTTGGTAATTTAAAAACAATTATCAGTGTATTTCAAAACCTTTAAAAATAGTATGATCATGAATGTAGATGTCTGTCAACCGGTGTTAGAGCCTTGTCGTGGCGTGGCAGCTTGTGTATCCTGACCACCCCCAGAGCTATACCAGCGGGAGTGTAAACTCCTGGTAGGTTCAACCAAGCTGGGAAGGGCTGCGCGGGTAGGGATCAGACCAAAGCTAACACCCTGGTCCTCCAGGTTGGGGGTTGAAACATTAGGCTAGCAACCTTTTCTCGTAAACAATATACTGCTACAGAAACTGCAAGTACATAAACCCAACACCGACTTGGTCAAGGGGGATCCTCTCTAGAAGAGCCCATGATGCCTACTAGTGAAAGCCTAACGGAAACTAGTTTACTGACAAATCTCCTGACGCCCAAGATTAAAACCAGCTTAGGGACCTGGAACATCAGAACCCTACATAAAAGCAGTTAACGCTTACGACATATACTTAAAATAAGATGGCCAGACAAAATATCAAACAAAGACTTGAGACAAATTTTAAAGCAACAGCCAAAAGAGATAGATATCAAGGCCCGTAAATGGGGATGGATCGGACACTTGTTAAGAAGAGAAAAAGAAAATATTGCAAAACATGCTATGGACTGGAATCCCCAGGGAAAAAGGAAAGTGGGTCGGCCAAAGAAAACATGGAAAAGAACTGTAGAGGAAGAGGCAAAGACAGCTGGGATCACGTGGGCACAGCTTAAGGGAACAGCCCAAAACCGAGTCCGCATGAAATATGTAGTCGCAGCCCTTTGCTCCCAGGGAGCCACAAAGGAGTGATGATGATGATGATGAGAGAAAGCAAAGCAAACACTTGCGAAAATATTAAAAACCGCCAATCAAACAGCCATAACAAATAAAGCAATGACACTTAATTAACACGACTAGACAAAGAACAGAAGACGAAAACAGACTAGTAGCAACGGCTATTTATAGATCGACTATATGGGAAATAAGGAATACAATTCAGATTTTATTTTACAAAATACACTAACATCGAGTTAAAAGAAATATTTCAAACAAAGCTGTAGACATAGACTGGGAACTATCACTTAACTAAAAACAATTTAAAAATAATGTGCAGGAAAAGAATAAATAAAGTTTAAATTTCAATTAAATCATCACTAGATCAGCCATCGGCAAAATCCTTTGTTTTTTTTTTTTTTTTTTTACCATTACATAATCTTTAATTGCGTGTAATTACATATAACAACAAACCATAGTGGTGAAAAAAAATATTTCACCTGAGGTATTCAAACATTTGTAACCTTATTTCACCACTGTTAGAAAAAGCACTAACTCTCAATGTTGATTTCAATAGTAAAATCCGTATGGCAAATGAAAAAAAGACCAATCATGTATGAGAAGGGTGCATTAATTTTAAAAGAGTATTTTAGATCTTTAAATACAGATGTGTGAATTAATATTAACAAATTCATATTAAGGCTTTCCTTCACATGTATATGGTTATTTTTCAAAAGATCCAGAAGTAAAAAATGGCTCTTAAATTTTTTAAATTTACTTTACGAGCTCAGATTTTAGGGTTCTGCCTTGTGAATCAAACACCAGTTATCAATCCAGACAAGAATCTTTCCTGTGATCACTTAGACCCCGAAGATCCTGGTGGAGGTGGTGGTCCCATTTTGCCTGCTTCTTTCTTAACTTTTAAGAAGGAGCCAGTGGTTGAAAAGTATTTTTGTGTGGTCTGTTGAACTTTGGTCTCGGCTGCATGTGGGTTGAAAATCTCCAAGTTCTTCAAGGGTGTGAATGCAACACTGGATGCTGTACCTTCCACCGTCTTTTTAACTGTAGTACTTCCACCCCATGTTTGATTTTGCTTGCTCAATTTCTGCTGTAATGTCTTGGAGATTCTAGCTTTTGTCTTTGCATCCACAGGTGCTCCTCTGATTTTACCAGAGTTGGATTTCCCCATTGTTCCCATTGAGAAACCAAGGTCATCCTGATAGGCATCATCCTCTATCTGACCAAAGTTCATTCTGTTGGCTTGCTTTCTCAACTCTGTCAGACCTAATCTCTCCTTCATTTTTCTTGCTCGTCTACCACCACGCTTTTTCTTAGACTGTTCAATGGGAGCAGGGAGAGGTTTTGAAAATTTGACAGGAGGCGGCTCTGTCATCTTGTCCATTTTAGTATCAAGTTCAGCTCTAAATCTGTCACCTGCTGCTCCGTCAACGCTTTCATGAAAACTGTCCACTCTTGCAGCTAATGTACATTTAGCCGCAATCGCCCTAGCGGATTTTCTTCTCATTTCTGGTGGCATTTTCTGAACAAGGTCACTGTAATAGATGAAACCAGTGTGTGGTAGAATGTTTGTGCTAGAGAAACCAGCAAGTGTCTTTTTCTGACTCCCTAACAGCATGACATTACATGCTGGCATCTTTGAAAGATTAGTAAGCCCACCAGCTGTTCCCATCAGTTTAGCAGCTATTGATGCGCCTACAATTATAGACAAATTAGGGGCAATAAATGTCATTCTTGACTCAACATATTCAAATATTTTTGTTTTACTTTTGTTTAATTCAATAGCCATGTCACAGCTTTCCATTACAGATGCTAAATCCTTCTCTGATAACTCGGTTCCTTGTGTTGTGGATGCGGTAACACTTACCACCATTATTGTGGCTGGAGTTAAAATATCTTGAAGAATTTCATTATTCTTTGATCGTTCAAGAATGTTGTTTCCAAGTTCTTTCACTGTACAGATATATTCAAGAGGCATTGGTACTAATGATTCTAATTCTGGAAATCGTTTGGAATAAATATCTTTCGCAAACTGGTGAATAACATTGATCTCATTGTCAATTTCAACTGTCATGTTATTGGCATCAACAATCAGCTTGTATTCAGGGTCAACCTCTACTGGTCCAGCTATTGCACTTCTTTTTGGCTTGGCTGAGTACTCTTCTATGTCTTGAAGAATTTTTGCTAGTTCTTTACTATCTTTCAGTTTTGCAACACTACGAACATTGGAACCAGCGACTTGGCGATCGCTGTACATGCCAATATCATCAACAACGTCGTTAATTGATTCCTCATCATCTTCGTCGATAGTTTCTAATTCTTCACCTCCCTCTTCTAAATCGGCTAAAAGCTCATCAGCTAGAGACATTGTTATGCTTTGTTTTTAATTAGATTAAAATCATAAACGTATCCATTAAAATCATGCAGTGATAATCATAACACAGTCGCAACTTGGTCGCAAAATCCTTTGTGAGAAAACAAACTTGTCATCATCTGAGGTAGAGCATGAGTACAAATGAACAAATCACACTTATAAGAAACACGTATACAAATAATAAAAGCTTTTCTTTATATTTAATTGCATTGAAAATTTAATAAAATTTTAACTTTACTATTCAAATGTTTCATTTTTTCCTATAAAAAATAAACATTCCGTTTAATTAATCATATAAACTATTATTTGTGTAATACTATTGTGTTTACATTGATTAAAGTAGATACATTAGGAAGTTTATGTGTTTGTCTCCCTTACATTCTAACTAGACAAGAAATGGTATATCAATCTGCGTATTTTATTTGAATAACATACTAACTGAAACATGTAATTACGTATGACATTATTCAATATGAATGCATGTTATGAAGTAACTTTAGACATATTTAGAAATAATTAGTAAAACAAAGGAAAGAGAATAGTTTAGAATAGATTGTCTTTTTAGGCAGTCTCAGTGGTTAGGAGTAAGTACAAATCACATATCCGACCAATCAAAAGAGAGATGAGCAGTCACGGTCAGTTGGTCAGAGATAGCGGCAGTTGGCAGTCTAGCGTGTAGAAAGTCAGTCGAGTATTGGAAGCAGTTATTTTATTGAACTTGGAACTGTCTCAGCGTTGCTATATTTCACAATGAAGAAACTATTAGGCCTTACATAAGAAAATAAATCCTCATACACATATACAAAAAGTATATATAAACATTCTCACACCACAACATATGGTAGAGCTGTTGACTTTTCAGTCGGTAGAGAATTGTGTGAATTTAGCAGATTAGCACAAAGTGAAAGGAAAAATGGCGCTGTCGACTTTAGAGAAAGATAAGAAACTTCCTTAATCGCTTAAAACGTATGGGATTAGACTGGATTTTTTTTGTAGAAGATGTGTGTCCATCCTCTGTGTTTCCTGTGTTACTCTTGTCTGTTTAATAAAACATTTGAATATTCAGGTTTAAAAATATCATTGCAATAAAAAAAATCCTGTATTATTTATAAAAAAAAGTGTATGACAGAAGTATGTTTTACTATTGTAATAAAATTATAATATATATATATATATATATATATATATATATATATATATATATATATATATATATATATATATATATATATATAAATATATATATATATATATATATATATATATATATATATATATATATATATATATATATTACAAAACATACAGATTATAGAGAAGCATCGTTACTTTTTAGTTTGCAGTGTACTCGGTGTGAGCTGAGATACAAGAAACACATCCAACACTTAGACCACTCAGGGTGTGAGCTGAGATACAAGAAACACATTCAACACTTAGACCACTCAGGGTGTGAGCTGAGATACAAGAAACACATCCAACACTTACAGTGACAGTAACAGAACAGATTTATCATAAGTAGTGACGGCGTTAATGTTTGAGAGTTTAAAATAAAAACTTGAAGAAGAAAATGACAGTCATCTATTCAAGTATGTATAACCTTTATTGTTGTGTTGTGTGACGGCTGATTATGATATATGACAATTTTTTTTAAATAAATAGTTGTAAAATAATTTTACTTTAATCCCAAATTTATTTCAGCTTCATTAACCCACTCCAACAAAAAAAAAGAAAGAAAATAAAAATTAATAAAAAATTAATTATACATTTTTTTCTAAATAAATAAAAGTTGAAATTAGTAAAGTGAAATGACAAACAATATTCCTGATACGTTGTTACTTCAATTTATAAGGTTATGGCATATTCATGGGCTCTAACTAGATTATCATTTTCTTACAAACCAAAGTGAGAGAGACACATAACCTGTCATTAGACTACCATACTCTAACCGGCATAAGTTAGAGCGACACATAGTTTCGGGCCCCTATTTTCGGGCCCCTATGTAACAAAAATAGTGAAATAGGGGTGATCATAAGCTCCTTTTAATAGATTTGTACTAAACAAATTAAAAAGCAATTACTTCTCTTAATTATTATTTTTTATAAGTAGGCTAATTACTAAAGAATAATATTGTATAAAAAGGAAATGTATTGAAATGTATTAAATCAATAATATTAAAACATTATTAATATAGCTACTAAAAAATAATCATAAAAATAAACATAACATGAGACACCATTACTTATACAAAGCTTTCATGTTTTATATTATTTTGACCGACAAGTTTCTAAGAGGGCTTCTATCGAAAATTAATTGAAAGTGGTTTTTCACAAAACACGCTAATGCCATTCACACATATGACAAGATGTTGAAATTTTTTTTTTAATTGATGTTTTTCAAATCCCGAACAGGACGACAACGGGTATCCTATGTTCGCATTATGTTATTATATATATATATATATATATATATATATATATATATATATATATATATATATATATATATATATATATATATGTATGTATATATATATATATATATATATATATATATATATATATATATATATATATATATATATATATCTGATCATACAAAACATAGTCATGTTAGGGTCACTGAGTTCTGATCATACAAAACATAGTCATGTTAGGGTCACGGAGTTCTGATCATACAAAACATAGTCATGTTAGGGTCACGGAGTTCTGATCATACAAAACATAGTCATTTTAGGGTCACGGAGTTCTGATCATACAAAACATAGTCATGTTAGGGTCACGGATTTCTGATCATACAAAACAACCCCAGGTAAAGTTAATGTGTTCAAATGTTCATATACTACTACCTCAGCTCAGATGATGCTAGTGTTGATAAAGGATAACTGTGATAGTACTATTGACGACACTATTCAATAGTTATTTTAAAAAAAAAAAATACTAGTACACTAAAGGTTGTTTCAAGGAAGTTGGGACAACAATCTATGGTCGCCGTTGTTCAGTCTAACAATAAAAAAATAGAAATCATAAGTTCATAAAGAAACAATAACAGGGATCGTACGTTAAATTCTAATTGTAGAATAGCTGACACACTTGGGTTGTCATCTGGTTTTGTTATATATGTAGCTTTTTATTTCAAGCTGAAAATTACTATGTGTGTTGTATACGATGTACATATAGAAGTAGTTCACAAATTGTTTCCCATTGTTTATTTATTTATTTTTTTATACTTTTATTTGCAATTAAAACAAGTACATCAACATCACATTTTTTTTACAGTTTCAAATGAAAACGAAAGGTTTTGCAAATGTGCATAATGAATATTTACATGATGTCATGTATGTGATCATAAAAATAAAACAATTACAAAGGAAGACAGTAACAGGGGTGAAGGTCAAATGAAAGTGTCAGAAGTCTGGGTGATTGTCCCTTAATTTCAATTTTTTTTTTTTTTTTTTTTTTTTTTTTTTTTTTTAAATTAAAGCAAGTACATCAACATCAAATTTTTTAACGTAATTTTGAACACCAAATGAAAACGAAAGGTTTTTCAAATGTACATAATGAATATTTACATGATGTCATGTATTTGATTATAAAAAAAAATTGCAAAGGATGACAGTAAAAGGGGTGAAGGTCAAATGAAAGTGTCAGAAGTCTGGGTGGTTTGTTTAAATATAAAAAAAAATAAAAGAGAGGCATTTGACAATTGACACTCATAGAGATCTTTTTTTTTTTTTAAATGATCGCACATTATTTACAAACAAAATGCAGACTATCGCGTAAATAATCTTGTTGATTATTTTGTTTAAACCTACATGCTATTTTAGTTGTATACGTTTCAATTAGAAAAACAAATATTGTTAAATTGTTAAAAAAAGGTGATTGTTACGTCCCTTACATGTCCCCTGCTTGTGTGTGTGTGTGTGTTATGTGCTGGAACGACAGGTACCCTCCCTTTGGTGTATAGTTTTATCCCTTGGTTGAGTGTGTTTACATGGAGCGAGAGGTGTTCACGTGAGGTGTGTCAGGTGACGGGTGTCAGAGCGTGTGCTAGTGTGTGAATCAGTTAGTTGTAGTGTGGACGTGGTGCTGTGGGGTGGCTGTGGACGGGGAACGTTGAGTATCTTGTTATTTTATGTTGTAGACTCCATTTGCTCTTTTAGTATTTTTATTACTGTAGATATTTATATTAAACATCTTATTATATTTATAGTGTTAGTTGTATTTGTTTGTGTTATATATATATACCCTAGACTGAAGAACCCGACAGTAATGTTGCTTTTTACATATTTTAACGACCAGCAAAACATTCGGTTAAATGTATTGCCGTTCTCGCTATCACATGTTTTCATTGTTTTCTGGCAACAAAGCTTAAACGAACTTTAAAAGCAGAACATATATTTAACGTAGTATCAGATGATGGTGTATGTGGAACTTTTACATTAAAATGATGGTCAAACATTACGTGGAATCATCACAGAAATTTGATAGCCAAACATCATGTGGAATCATCACAGTAGTTAGGTAGCCAAGCATCATGTGGAATCATCACAGTAGTTAGATAGCCAACCATCATGTGGAATCATCACAGTAGTTACATCATCACCATCAGGTCGGCCAACTTGCTGTTAATTTGTTTTGTATTAATTCAACATCTGATTGTGTCACAGATTATGTTACATCGCATTACCATCTGGTCTTGACCTACTTATCCAATTATAAAGTATATTGCTGAAATACGAAACATAGTTAGCCTATAATATTCTTTTATTATTTTAATAAGTGTTTTAATATTTAAATGTGTCTGTATAAACTTATAATGTTAAAGTTAACAATACGATTATGTTATGGTTATTTATAGTTTGAGAGAGGTCTAGCCAATACGGCTATGTATAAATATATCACTGGCGTAATACCATTCAAATATACTGTAAATATGTGACGTTTGATGTATAACTATAGACTTTACAACAACTTTGGTTTAATTGTCTCTTAATTTACTTCTGTCGTGATCATTGTTCCTTTTTGAGTTCAGCAAAAAAAAAAAAAAAAGTTTGCAGCTTAACCCAAGCTAATTTTCTT